CACGAAGAACACAATCTTGCGTGCTGGGTGCCTGACTCAGCTCTTTTTCTTCTGCTTCTGTGGCGTTTCTGAGGCCTTCATCCTTTCAGCAATGGCCTATGACCGCTATGTTGCCATCCGTAACCCACTGGTGTATGCAGTCACCATGTCTCCCTGGGTGTGTTCCCTCCTGTTATTAGGTGTTTATGGGATGGGGTTTGCTGGGGCCATGATCCACACAGGAAACATAATGAGTCTGACCTTCTGTTCTGACAACCTTATCAATCATTTCATGTGTGATATCTTCCCTGTCCTTGAGCTATCCTGTAACAGTACAGATGCAAATCAGTTGGTGGTCTTTATTGCTGTGGGCATTATCATTGGCATACCAACCATCGCTATCTTCATTTCTTATGCTCTCATCCTGTCTAGCATTCTTCACATTCGTTCCACAGAGGGTAGATCCAAGGCTTTCAGCACCTGCAGCTCCCACATGATTGTAGTTTCTCTTTTCTTTGGTTCTGGGGCTTTTGCATATCTCAAACCACCATCCATTTTTCCCCTCGACCAAGGAAAAGTGTCTTCTCTGTTTTATACCATTGTGGTACCTATGCTAAATCCTTTAATCTATAGCTTGAGGAATAAGGATGTCAAAATTGTTTTGAGGAAAGCCTTGAACAGAAAAATACTTTCCTAAGAGAAGAAATTTTTACAATAGAACATTTTGCTTATTTATGTCTATATTTTTAATCAAGAACCAAATTTCAGGTGTTTTTCTGTCTTGTAGGAAAGTTAATTTTAAGTCATTCTATTTTATGTTTAGTGCAGATCTATTATTCTTTACCCTTTTTAAATCTTACTTCAGCTATCCCAAGATTTATACAAAACAATTTTAATTAACTTAGTGACTGAATTTTATTAATTACTTAATCTTTCTTTCTCGCTTACCAGATAGAAGAGCTGGATAAATGTATATGTTCCATATGGCATACATCTCAATTCCAGTCTACTTTCATTTTAATAAAGCTGTGTTTTATTCTATTGCCATATATTGCTGCACTTATAGATTTCTTTTTAAAATCTAACAATAAAATCTGATTGTATTTACAGTATTGTAACAGCTTTTAACTGATTTCTTTTTTGAGACTAGTTTTAAGAGGTAGGAGAGAATTTTTGTTGTTGTTATTAGGATGGTTTTGGCCAAAGAACAGAAAAGTACATTAGGATGATGTTTGTGTGTCAAAATTGAGTTCTTGTGCTCCACTTTTTAATCTTGGTGTATTAGTTAGATCTTATATAACTTGATAGGTTACAAGAAGCTGAGTGGAAAGTAGACATTATTTCACAACTAACAGAGTCATAATTTAGAAATTTCTCAGGAAGTAAATTATGCATTTGAGTTACAGTGGAGAGATTTGCAGTTTAGGGCATTACAAAAGTATCTGGAAGTTTGTATGAGGCAATAAGTAATTCTGAGACTCTAGTTTGTTATTAAGGTAGCATCCAGCTATTCATTACTGGAAAAGACAATTTATTTCCATTGAATTTTAAAGATCAGCTATAAAAATTAGTGTATTTACATTTTTATTTTCAATTCATATTTTTCAGTGATCTAGAAGGAATGTATTTTTTTCTGAATATATGCAGTTATATAGGTAGAAATGCAAACTTTAAAAATGAATCAATGCTTGGTCTTAACCATCCAGCAGAAAAGTGTAAAATGAAGTATAAGAAGTAAAGCCATGCTGTTATGTTGCCAGTGAAGCGGAAGACCCAATACTATTATGGACTACTGGACTCTTTTAGAATATTTTGCTGAGTTAACACA